AGAGAGAGAGAGAGACAGAAAGAGAGAGAGCAGACAGACAGACAGACAGCCTGACTGAAAATCCAGGAGAAAAAGGCTAACCTTTCTCAACCACAGGAATTAAATACATAGGAGAAATATCATCTACTGCCAGTAGTGCTACATTCACTATATCCTTGCATCAGAGATTATGAAGTCAGGTCCTGGGCAGGCCCTTGGAAGATCATAAATGAGAGAAAGCCTTCATCCAGGCACACACTGACTATGCTTCTCCTCTCTACCTCCATCCAAGTCCCGCCACATGGCCACACTGAGGATGATTCCCCACCTTCTTGGAATCCCTGCCTTGCTAGGCACCTGCTCCGTCTTGACAATAACAATAATAAAATGTGCACAGGTCTTTACAGTTTACAGTTTTCTATTTTAAAAACAGCTTTAATCAGTAAACCATTGGGACAGGCTCACCTATGCTACTATAACAAGCCTCACCAATCTCAGTCATGTGACTCAATGTCTCACCTCTCTCTCTTCGAATGAAACCCATGGACTTGGCACACACGAGGCAAGCACTCTGCCATGGAGATACACTCTCACCACATGTGTACCTTCACTCTCACAAAGTCACCTCTGGGTGACTCTCCAGAGCTGCAGCTCACCAGCATAGCCCAACACTCCTTCTGCATGGACCCCAAGGTGCCTGCATCTCAGCAGGTCATCGTGACTGATGAGCCAGGAGGAGGAGGTCCAGGAAGACTTCTCCCTGTAAGCGCATGCTTTGGCTCACCAGAGAGTACACTGCACTCCACTTCCAGCCCAGCAGCAAGAGAAATAGTTATGTGGCCCTGTCTAGATGCCTTGGAGTTGGGAAGGATAATTCTGTTTTCTGCACACAATGAAAAGCAGCTGTGGATAAGAACTAAGAGTGTCTACCATGGGGAGTGTACCACATAGGCACAGTGGAGCAACCAGCTTGGTTAGGCTGGTAGGGAAGAGGGACTTGGGAAGTGGCTCAGTGGGGAATCAAATATGGCAGGTTTCAAAAGTTGAGGAGATGATGCCCAGGCAAGGTCAAGTCCATGTACAGAGGATAGGAAGATGGGGAGAAGAATGGCTTTCAGGAGGCAGGGGCTGAAAAAGTAGGGCCAGGTAAAGACTCTCTTTAGGGGGCAGAGGTCTGCTGGAGCAAAGGACAAGAAGCCAAGGAGCCCAAGGCAGAACAGCAGCCTGAGCAAGGTCCCTCATGGGGAGCAGTCAACGAGCTGGCCCTTCATGGAGGACTCACCAGGAGCTTCCCCTCCCCTGTGAGGCCCAAGGGACTGTCCCACATGAATGGAGAGGATGAGGGCCCTCCAGTTGTCACTCATGCATTCCCTTTCTCCATTTAGCTCCCTTTGTGCAAGGGGAAGGTGGCAGGCACTTGTCCCTGACCTTCCACAGCATATACTTCAAGCAAGAGTAAGAGCTTAACGTAGGGCAAAGTACAAGTGCTAGGAGCTCATTCACTTCAGAGATCAGGAAGGGATTTGGGCTGGGTTTCAAGAGTCAAAAGTACAGGAGAACAGGCAGATGGAACAGGTGAAGATGTGGACAAAGGTAAGAAGGCAGGGACACCGCACATTCGGAGGGGTCATGGTTCAGCACATGAAGAACAGCAGCAGTGAGACCAGGGGGGAGCTCAGGTCCAGGCTTCAGGCAAAATCCCGGGCCCCAGGCTGTGGTAAGAAGGAAGCCTCAGTGAAAGGCAGCAGCAAGCACAGGTTTATCTGTATTTGCATACATTTCATGCCGTGCCCCACCTCTAGAATTGCTGGATTGCAGGCTCTATTGAATTATCCCTCACCACCTCCATAACCACATCTGGAAAAAAGATTGTTTTCCACAAAGGTAAAAATTGGTCCCTGGTGCCAAAATGGTTGGGACCTGCTGGCTTAGAGGACCCTCGCAGGCCTTCAGGGCTGGCTCCTACAAGGCCATAAGTAGTGGAGCGCACCTAGGTTTGGGGCCCAAGCCCACCTCTGCCCACTCTGTAGGGAATTGACCTCAGAGCCCAGCCTGCATTTCCGGCTCAGAACACTACTATGGGGTCCACACAACACTCTCCAGGAGGCTATGCAGGAAAGGCTCTGGGCAGTCTTGCGCCCCCAGATGAGAGACGCAGAAGCAACCTCCTCTCCAGCTCCCCAGCACCCTCCCACAGAGCCTCCACCCCCCTGCTACTTCCACCCTCCCTCATGGAGCTGGGTAAACAGGAGCGCCTCTACTCTCCTCTCTTCTGTCCCCTTCTCCAGCTGGGTGCAGGAATCCCGGGCAGCGAGCTGAGAGTTAGGAAGCCTCAGATTCAGGGCAGCATGGGATAGGCAGCTAATTTAGCAGGCCTTCCATTCAGGTCCCGTGGGTACCGACCCCCTCTTCTCTTTGCTCCGTGGGTCAAGCCTCGGCACCCTTTAAATCCACACACTCTCTAAGTCAGGTCCCAGTTAGGCTAAGTGTTTACTGAAACTCTCCTTCCTCCTCCCCTGCTCCCCTCCCCTCGCCTCTCCTCACACCTCCCTACCTTACAAAAGCCTGGGGTCTGGATGAGGCCGGAGCTCCCCCCAGCGTTCAGGCTGGGAGAGGACAGAGGTCGTTTCACAGGTTTCTCTTTTGACCCAGGCCACTTATCCACACACAGGAAAATTCAGGAAGGCTCCGGGTGGAAGCTCGGAATGGGCCATCCTAAGCGCTTTACCCACATCTGCTCCTTGCATCTTCACGGCAACCCAACAACACGCGCTTTCTTCGCTATTCTGCCGACTAGGGAAAAGGGGCGTCTTTGGGTCTCCGCCTCTGCTTTGGGGTGGGAGACCCGCCGGGCGGGCGCGGAGGATTGCAGAGGCAGGGCCGCGAGGCAGACGCGGCCTCGGGATCAGACACCGCCTGCGGATCAGACGCGGCCTCCGGGTCAGACGCGGCCTCCGGGTGTTGGTGTTACAGCAGCCGCCATTAGGGGGCGCGACCAGGCAGCGCGTTCAACGGAGACGCCAAGGCCCACCGCCAGGGGACCCAGGGCAGCTGGACCCCCTAACCCCGCCCCGGCGCCCCTCTGACGACCCGGCCCCCACTCCTGCCTGGCTCCCCGGGCCCACCCCGTGCCCGCGTGGGATCAGATCCCACTGGTGCCTGCTCACTGAACATGACCTGGATAGTTTCCTTTCCTTCCCCCCACAACAAAGCACAATGTAGTTTATCTATAGATTCAGCCCAGAAGTACAATATGCACGTTAAAGAACAAGGAATGAGCCACGCATGGTGGCACACACCAGTAATCCCAGCTCTCTGAGAGGCTGAGGCAGGAGAATCTCAAATTCCTACCCAGCCTAGGCAACTGTGAAACTTAGTG